TAGGCTTTTATTTTAATTGCATGTACGCCAACATCCAGCCCGCTCTACTTCAGGCCTAAAAGATCAGTTCTCATCTCCCTGAAAAATAGTATCTGATTCATACATTTTGTTTTTCCAATCTGGAATTCAACAGATGTAAGAAAGGAACTTATCTGCATCTACAATACAGATGCAAGCAAAATTTAGGCACCCATGATCAAATTATATGTAGTAATGAGTCTCTAAGGGAATAGAAGCCTACACCACTTCTACATGGTAACAAAGTTAAACTTCTATTTATGTATTTGTTTACAGATTCATAATGAAAGAATAGTGATTATACCAGGCACCTAAGTTTGGACACATATTCAGTCAGTTCTTTATAACAAGTTTAGTCAGCTAATTATCTTACTGTTCTTGCTTTTGAATTTTGTTTTTCTACTTTCCTTGAAGAATTCTTCTAATTCAGAAATATTCTTTGGTTTTCTTGCATGTTTGAGGTCTCTTTACAATTAACAGCAGTATTCAAATCTGAAGAAAGATAAAGGCTATTCCAACCTTTATCTTTCTTTTCAGTATTTCATGGTAGATTTGGAAGCATGTTTGCAATTTTTGTCTTTCTGAAATGCGCAGCCTTTCTTCAGCTTCATTTTTAGGAGCACAAGCTTCCAGAATATGATATTTAATTGGATCCATTCTACCTTCCACATACAGCCCCAGAGCATATTAGATGGCAAAATGTTCTATTGTTGAAATGCTTCATCTTTTTTTATCCATAGGTACCTTGCATTATTATTGCTGAACAATTCAGTTTTTGTTTTATTAGTCCAAAACTCTTTTTTCTAAAGCATTTCAGGCTTGTCAGGGTTTTTTCTGTTTCGTTGCATACTTTAGATCATTATTTTTGTGGTGAGGTTGAATTAAAAAAAATCCTTGTTTCATGCAGATCATTGTTTTGTAAGCAATATTAAACTGTGAGGCTGTGGACAAGTGTTCCAATGCCAGCTAAACTTTTTAGCAGGTTATTTTAAAGGCACCCAGTGCTAGAGGCAAACTGTTGGAAGAAATGTCCATCTGGATTCAGTCCAAGTGGGAAGAAAGAAACTGGAAACATGGGGACTGCTTGGAAAGATTGTTTAATGGTGGACAAGACCACATGGTTTGAGGTCCTGGGCAAAAAAGAACAAATGGGTGAAAGAGGGAGAGAGATTTATACCCTCTCTTGGGCCCCGCCTTGGAGCTTCCTGTTCCTGTGAAAGAAATGTATTCTGATTGGTTGTCAGACTCCCATGGGGCCATGCAGGAGTAACTTTGTAGAGTCCCAAATTTGGTTGAATCTTGCTGGGTGATGTAATCTCCCCAGGTGCCTTGTGGTGAGTTCTGTTGCGAGATGGGTAGAGGGCTTATCCTATCATGTCCTGAGTGCCTTTTGTGTTGTAGATAAGCTGGTCCAGCCTTTGTCTTGTAGATAGGTTGGCACCAAAATATCTGCTGGTGGGGGGGAGGGCAGGGAGCTGATGCTCTGAGTTTGTCTTTAGAAACATGTTTCTCCTTTAGGAAAAATATAATATTCTTCCTTTTTAATATTTCCTAGAATATTTCATTTTCTTAGGAGAAAGGTGGGTGCTAACTTCCTACACAGCAAAGTAACTCCATAAAATTATGGAGCATCTTCTATGTTTCTCAGTAGGGATAGAATTATTTTCTTTAAAAGCATTATTTTTTCAGTGAATATAGGTCTTCTTTGACGTATGAACAAGCTTTAATTTTCTTTCACCTGTTCAAAGGAGGACTGTGGCTTAACAACATGCACTTTAGCAAACTCTAGTCTGGCTTTTTTGGTCTTTTGTGTTTTTCAGAAGTGGGTTTTTCTTGAGTCTTATACTGCAGAGGCCATTTTCAATCAGATAGCAACAGATGGTGATTTGATATTGGTGTACCTTGATCTTACAGCTCAGCCAGTATCGTTTTGGAAGTTTTCCTTAGTTCCTCCTCTACCATTTGAACTATTCTTTTCAGTTGGGATCACTTTTCTTTTTGTGGCTACATTCAAGGAGGTTGGCTATGTTCCCATGGACCCATGAGATCAGCCATGCATAATGAACATGAAACTCTTTGAAGATGGTTTTGTAGCCTTTACCATGCTTTGCTATTACCTTTTTTATTTTCTGCTTTTCTTTTTCTTGTCCATGTTCGCTGCACACAGTGACCCAAAACGCCTGAGCACTTTTCTCCATTCACATAGGCTCAGTGACTGATTATGTGATTGAAGACACTCGTGATGCTAATTAAAGCAAATAGTCTACTGGAGGGATCACTAAAATCCAATAATGTCTTTTAACTTCTAAGTGGTACCCATAATCATGTCCACACTATTTTCATGTTTTATTATTTACAAGACTATGTTAAATCATACATCAAACACAAAGTGCCTGCTCTGTGGATTATGAATAACAAAAGGTGGATGCGATTTACTTGTCTCAGTTTCGCAGCAAATTGGAATTCATTTTTTAGGGAGGGGAGAAGTAGAGGAGTATCCATATTTTTGACTGTGTCAGTAATTTCCATTTTTAATATGTTGAAATTTCTAGCTGAAAGCATTTAGGGGTTTTTAATAACCCCCCCCCCAAAGAGTGAATGATTTTTCTTTTTAAATTCTCAGACAGCTGTTTAGAGAAGCCTGCAGTTGCTCAAGTAGATTGAGAGTTTAGAAAGATCAAAGTATTTGTTCACTTGTGAAGTTGTCATTGCCAGGCTAATGGTACCCTAAGCCTAATAAATCAATCAACTTCTGGAGTCTTATTAACAACTCTACAGTACAATGAAAAAAAGTATCACTGAATCAACTAGAATGATGCTCCAATTTCTGCTATATTCTGAGTGTTCTTTTTTGAATCTGTGAGCAACAGCATATAAGTTTTGGATGTTTGGGGAAAGATGTTATGATTAACTCTGTAGATGCTAGAAATTGTGTTGGCTTCTTCTTACATAGATTCGTGCAATTTGGCCAGACATGCCTAAATTTTTGCACAACTGTATATAGCTGTTGCAGAAAAAGAATTGGCTTACAATGTTAAAAACTGTTCTGAATATATCAACCACAGCCTGTTTTAGCATAAACAGTGTTAGAAAATTTATTAGCCAGAGAACTGCTGTGCTCTTGCCTGTTTTTCTTTGCATGTCAAGAGTCATCCACTCCTTTGCTTTTACAGACAGCCTAAATAGCCTGATTAATGGCACCCTGCATTCTTTTCTCTTCATCTTGCTACATTTAAGAACCCCATTAAAAGATTATTCTCCTTTGTCTTAATGGGAAGAACAGCATAGCCCTTGGCATGTGAGGTCACTAAGATCCAATTCATGTGTTGCTATTTTAGGTACTGGTGATGTTTAAAAAAATCAAAGTCTAAGTCATAGCAGGAAGCAACCACATCCGATATCTGGATTGCATCCTTAATTCCTGTGCCAGTGGACCAGCATTTTAATGGTGGTAGCTGGCTTATACATGCATATGCTATTGCTGCAAATAGAAGGGTCAACTGTGTCAAAATAATTTGGGAGCGGAAGCAGCCGCATACCAATTGGACAATGTAAAAATCCCTCTCCTAGCCCTGGATACAAATGGGAAAGGTTGCTTTTACTCACAGTCGTATAATTTATTCTATTAATAAAAAAGGACTCGTAGGCAAATATTTTCCCCTGAAACCATAGGGCAATTTGTCTCTTTCACAAACTTCCTTTTAATACATTTCCTTTGTAGTATGGACAACAAATTCTGTTCTACATTTATACTTGGTTCAACATAAATCTTCAAATCTGTGAATAGGAGAAAATAGGCAGCTTCTAATTTTACAGAGGAAAGTACTCACATCATATACATGAGGAAAATGCAGAATAATGGGATGTTTGATGTCTAAGGAGATTAGAAGTTGACAAATGAAAGCAAAAAAGTTTATATGAGTGTTAACCAAGGCATTATAGATAAAGGTAAAGGTTTTCCCTGTCCAGCTGATTCTGACTCTAGGAGGTGGTGCTCATCCCTGTTTCTTAGCCAAGGCAGCTAGTGTGGCCGGAAAACATTTCTGTGGTCATGTAGCCAACATTACTGCATGTCGAGCTGCACAGAATGCTGTTATCTACCCACCAAAGTGGTACCTATTTATCTACTTGCATTTGCATGCTTTCAAACTGCTAGGTTGGCAGGAGCTGGGGCAAGAACAGAAGCTCACCATGTAGGATGGCACTCAGGTCTCAAATTCAGCATCTTTAACCACTGAAACATTGCGCTCCCTTCAGGCATTATAAATAGGTTTAGATGAATGCCATGACTCGCAATACCTTGGAAGATACACCTTACATTTGGGGATCAAGAAAAAGGTTAAAAAAGTATTAACTAAAAAGAGATTATCTCTGGGTGTGGCCATATCAAGGTTGCTTATTTATAGAGCCATAAACCATAGCAAAGATGCATAACTAAATATACCAGTTGTCCTAGCCAGCCACAAGTCTGTCAATGTCTTGCATGCAGTATTCAGCTTGCTTATTATTTCTTTGGTGGAGAGAAAGAAATAGCATTGAATATTTTAAACTGCTGTACCCACTCACTTATTTAGGATAATTCGTAGAACATATTCATATGTGTGGGCACATATGTATTTTAAAAACTCTACTGGAATATTTAAATTTGACAGTTTTCAAACATGACATTCAGGTACATCTCCCCCTTCTTTGGAGCAGATTTTTCCTATTGAAAGAGAGAAGGTATGAAGCAATGAAAAAAAAAACAATGGAAAGAGAGAGAGAAGAAAAAACAAACAAAAATTGACTGTTGAGATTGACTATTTCTTATCAAACAGTGATTTACCAAATATTTCTATCAGATCTGGAGTACAGCAGTTTCTTGCTAGTAGCGTAAAACCTGGTAGCCTAGTTAAGATGGCAAAGAGTTTCTACAGAGTGGAGTTTTAGCGCTAACAGGTATGTTTCCTGTTATTCAATTTCTGTCTTGGTTTCTTCCACAGCCACCATCTGGACAGGAAGAGAACTCCACCAGTGGAAATGCCCAAGCAACTGTTCAGCCTCCCAAGGGCCAAAGCTTTGTGCAGAATCACTTCCAGGCCCAGTACAGGTAAGAAACTAAGACAGAATTTCCCATATTACTACTAAAGATCTAACATATATATATGCCCATCTAGAAGTCACCCCTAAAATAGATTGTAATAGATACAGCCAAAGATTTTACCTGGTGCAAATTCCATCTTAATTGGTTACAATTAAGTAGAATCAGCTCGTGAAGGAGAAGAAGAGAGCAGGAGTGGGGGGGAGGGAGGGGAAGAAGAAAAGGGGAAGGAGAGGAGGAAAATAGAAGGTAGAGAAGGGTATTTGAGTATTTGAAAATTTATTTATAGGCTGCCCTTTTCCCTGGGGGGACTCAGGGCGGCTCACAACTCATGGGGAGGGGGATACAA